CAACAATAACAACAGTTTTTGATGTGGTTTGGTTCTCTGAGCTGGATGCTTAATTCGCGAAGCTTTCATCACCCTACTGGGTGACATCTTCAGCGCATACTTTCTGTCTCTGTCTGTATTCAACATAGAACTTGGCACCGAAGTGCACAGTTCGAGTTAGCCACCTTCCAAATAGCACACAAAGGTAGACAAGAAGATGAGTGAAGAGAATCAATGGAGCTTGACAAGAATAAAAGTGAAACAGATTGGGTAATGGTAGAAAGGAATATGAAAGATTACAGAGACTGAATACATCTGCGCTGGCCATTGACAACGATTTTGAGCCATGTCACCTATTGTCTCCAGCCATTGATTCCTAGAGTCCCGAGGGCCCCAACCCGGAAGTCTGAATCTCCCTACCTGACTCAGTTTAACTGTCAAGGATTTCATGGATTGATGCCATGTTTTTGTTTGGCCACCACTGGCTCTTTTCCAACCTGAACCTATATCAGCTAGCAATGCCCGTCGGGGGAGGCGGTGGTTAGGCATGCGCAGTACGTGACCTAGCCATCTTAGTCTATGTAACTTTATAGCCTCGTCGATTGATTTTCCCTCTTTGCCCAACACTCTACGCCTAACGTCAACATTACTTACCTTGTTAAACCACCTAACGTGAGACAGAGATCGCAGACATCTATGATCGAAAGCAGTCAACCTTTTCATGTCTTCAACGCGTATTGGCCATGTTTCAGAGCCATAGAGAAGGACGGAGCGAACTGATGAGCAGTACACACGTCCCTTGGTTGATAACCGGATGTCACGCCTACGCCAGAGATGGTGTAAGTCAGCGAAAGCAGCTCGAGCTTTTCGGATCCGTGCTGAGATTTCATCGCCAATCAGTCCGTTGGTGCTAATACAACTTCCCAAGTAGGTGAAGTGGTCAACATGTTCTATCACTTCACTCCCTATCACTAAGTTAGGAGTTGACGTAGTCCAGTCCTGTAGCAGCATCTTACATTTTGCAGGGGCGAATCGCATGCCAAACATACGAAGATTGCTGCTCAAGGTGTTCAGAAGACTCTGCATTTTGTCAGCATCCTCCCCTAACAGGACTATGTCATCTGCATATTCTAAGTCCATAAGACTATTCCCTGGTAACAAGTCGATTCCTAAGTCGTTACGTTCAGTTAAGGATACTTCCATTAGCATATCTATGATGAAGTTAAACAGAAATGGGGAAAGTGGACATCCCTGTCGGACACCACTGGTTGTTACCAATTCAGATGACAATTCCCCATAAGCCCTTACACGACTACGTGAGTTTGAATAGAGTGCCTTGATTAGTGCAATGTACTTTCTTGGCACTCCCTTCACAGTCAGACATTGCCATAGTACCTTTCGATCCACGGAGTCGAAGGCCGCCTTCAAGTCAAGAAATATGACAATTGTTGGACGCCGAAAAGTGTGTCTATGTTCTAGAATCTGTCGAAGAGTGAAGATATGATCTATGCACCCTCTACCTGGTCTAAAGCCTGCTTGATTTTCCCTTGTCTGTTCCTCCCGAGTTCTGCTTAGTCTATGCATGATTACTGAGCCTAGGATTTTAGAGACTATGTTCGTTAGGCTGATCCCCCTATGATTATCACACGAGGACTTGTTTCCCTTCTTGAATATCGGTATAATAAGTGACTTACCCCAGTCTGATGGCACTGTCTCTGATTCCCAGACTTTGCCTAGTACCTCAGTTAATCTACAAACTAGTATGTCACCCCCATATTTAAACACCTCCGGAATAATTCCGTCGGGTCCTGCCGCTTTGCCTCGTTTCAAATTACTGATAGCTTTTGTGACCTCACTTACAGACGGCGGACCAGTGTCTATATCCCATTCGGGTGTGTTGTGGATGTCGGGGAGGTTCAGTGTGGCTGTAGGCAAGTTAAATTGTCCCTCAAAGTGTTCTTTCCAGCGTTCAAGGCGTCTATCCTGAGAGCTAATTAAGGAGCCATTTTTCTCAGAAATAGTCTCACTTATGATTTGCCTTCTCCCACCCGTTTCCCTGATGAGTCGAAAGAGTTGCCTAGTGTTGCCTATCGCCGATGCTTTTTCCATCTCTTTTGCCTTTGTCAGCCACCACTGTTCACGGTCCTTGCGGAGACTTTTAGTAAGTTTCCTTTTGTGCAGCTTTCGCTCCTCATTGAATTCGGAGCTCGCCGGAATAAGTCTTCTAGCATCTATCAGTTCGGATGAGGCAGTCGAAATCCAGTGGTTTTTACTCACCTTTGGATTTGCCTTATTCACAGCTTTTACAGCTGTATCTATAGCTGACTGAATATTCTTCCAGGCTTCTCCAGGGTGAGCACAGCTGTCGAATTCAGATATGCGTTTAGCTAGTTCTTCCTCAAATAGGGATTTAGTTTCCTGATCGAGCTGTGGACGTGATGGCTTTACTGCCAGCTGTTTCCTACGTCCGTTCAGTCGTAAGCACACACGAGCGCGGACCAGTGCGTGATCGGTATCTACACACGTGTTCCAGAAGGAGCGACAATCTCCTACCGACCCACGCCAACGATAGCTTATTGCTATGTGGTCTATTTGTGTCCAGCTTTGGTTTGATGATGGGGGTCGCCAGGTTAAACAGTGTCTCTCCTTGTGTTTAAAGTTAGTGCTTACGAGAAACAAATGATTATCTGAACAGAACTGTAGGAGACGGTCACCGTTGTCGGTTCGCTGGCACGGGACTCCATAGGTGCCACCGACACTTTAATTTGAAGTGAGCTTTTAGATTTCTCCACGAGTTTGTTAATCATCTCTCCTGGTGACCTTGGACGTGATTGGTTGTTTATGTGTGTTTTCACATCTTCTAGGTTACTTGTATTGGAACTGACTGTTTCTTTGACTTGAACTTTGACTCTTTGTGTGTGAAGTTTCTTTCTTATTGGTTGATAAATTTTGTCTATCTCTACATGTCTATTGATTGATGATTCACTGAAATGCAAAGCTTCTAAACATAAACAACCAATCACGTCCAAGGTCACCAGGAGAGATGATTAATAAACTCGTGGAGAAATCTAAAAGCTCACTTCAAATTGAAGTAGGCGCTGAAGATGTCACCCAGTAGGGTGATGAAAGCTTCGCAAATTAAGCATCCAGCTCAAAGAACAAAACCACATCAAAATCATCCACCTGAGCTGCAAATCTTCTCTATCATATCTAATAACAACAGTTGATGTCTTCATCCATGGGCGCCGGAATCCAGTCTAGCTACCACACATTCTTTCCCCATCAGAAATCTTCAAATAATTCGAATGTCTTAAGAAAGAGATGATTCGGCACACCTAGCTCATATCCTTATTACCCCGACCAAGAAGGCACAACGACATGAATTGGCTTCCCCATTTAACTAACACTACTTATAACTAACGATAATCTGTCTAACCTGACACAAGATACCCAGGCGAGGCATCTACAATCAAAGATTGTTAATCTTCTCATATCTTCAACCTTCAGCGACTATGTCTCACAGACGTAAATATGGAGTGAGTGGAATGCTATGCTATATGCACACCTCTTGATGTATTACAAACTAAGTCAAAGATGACATAATTTGGCATGTGTGAAGCAGCGAGTCCTGTGTATCCATGCTGAAATTTCAACAGCATGAAAATTCCATATTTTCACAAGACTCATTTAGTTAGGCAACTGTATGCATAAATTCAGTCTACCTAAAAAGCTTTAGAATGCTATACCTACAAATAACTCATGTGAAATAGTCAAAAAGTCTCTTGACACTTGAAAGGTGAATTTCGATGCTCATTGTGCTGATCAATTGAAGTGATGCATAAAATTATCGGAAAACTTTGTCTTCGATTTGTCAGTTACTTCTTTTAAGCGTAAATACAATACAAGAGAGACGAGTTTGGAAAATTTGGAAACATTGAATTCTCGTTTGAAAGTGACGCTGTGAACTTGTGAACTGTTCATAATTAAACCTCTTTATTTTATCACTTCACTTGATACTTGTCAGCCCCCATTTGTCGGTATTTGTTTGTATGTATTTTGTGGTAACCATATTTCTCTTACGCCATTAAATATACCTCACTACCCAACCCCCAATGAAACTTATATTCTGTTGACTATAAATACATTAGTAAGTCACGCAGTCGTCTATTCACACTTTATCATATGTTCCGAATGACTGCACATTTTTATAAACGTTCATTTAACAATATTAAATAACGAAAAATCACTCCATTATTATACATGTATCCCGATACAATTTCTGATATAATTTTCACATGCTTTTCCTGACTATTTGTATTTGTGCGTCGGTGGCACAGTGGTTAGGGCTCTCGCCGACCATGCACATGGTCCAAGGTTCGATCCTCTGCCAACGTACACCCGATATCTATGGTCGGCCTGCGAAATTTGGGCTACCGATATCCATGCTGAAAATTCCATACTTGTACCAAAAATACAGTGTGGAACCAAGCTGTATTCAAAAATCAAATAATATTCATGGATTTATAACTGTCGAACCTGAGGAAGAAATTAGCGAAAACCATTGTTTGCTCAAAACCATCTTGTTCTGATTAAACTATGGGGATTTTTGATGATATTAGATAGTTGGAGGCAATCGGCCACAGGAAGCCCTATCCGATCTAGGTTTCCTGCTAGTTGGCACTCACCGGTCAGCAAGGCGTATCTGTAACCTTGAAGGAACTCATGTCCCTTCTGAAATTCAAACCCATGTCACCCGGTGCTGCAGTCAGAGACGTTACCAATCAGCTATTCGGGCCCGCGATTGACCTCCTGTAGGACTGTAGTGGACACTTTGATTGGACACTAGTAACTAGTGTGATGTGTCTAGTCCTTTCTTTGGTGCAGACTGAATTCTGTCAGTCAGCTTTGCAATGTGGCCACCATTCTAGGTAGCTCACTGGGATTTTTAATTTACTGAAATCTATCATTAGTCAAAATATTGGTAACAACATATTAAATTAAGATTTAAGCGAAAAACTTACACCTCCACTACTGTAGGCATCATCATCATTTCCTTGAACATCCAAAGTATCTTGATACTTTTTCCCCGGTGAAGCACGATGTGATGGGCATTCTGAAGTATCTTCTTCGGTAGCAATTTTAATAACTGGATCATTAGGAGGTTTTGGTCTATTAATACCAGTTGGGGATTTTAAAGCTAAATGATCGTCTGGAGTATTGACAGATATTGGAGGAGGAGTAACAGCGAATGCTTCTGTTGAATTTCTAGTTTTACTTCGAGGTCTAGATTAAAAAATACATACATTTAAGATATGTAAAGTGATAGAAAAAAGAAGCTTAATAGTAATTTTTTTTCTTTTTTTTACGATATAGGATTGATAGACTCATACCTAACCTTCTCTCTTTTCAAATTTTGGCTTCCAGAGATTTGATTTCATTGGTGACAGGATTTCATCATGAGCTGATATCAATTAGAGAATCATTGGAAAACATGGGAGTACTGGACGCTGCTTCGTCCTAGTTTGGACTCTTCATCAGTATCCACCCACCACTAGGTGTCGAGCCCAGGACCTACCCGTTAAAAGACGAGCTCGTAGACCATCAAGCCACTGGGACACAATCCAACGGCCCATGAATTTCACGATATAGCTCCACCACTAGCTAATGTCATCGGCGAGTATCTGTTCTCATACTCGATATGCTGTACCTCAATCCTCACTAGAACCTAGGTAACTACCTACCTGAATAGGGCCAGTCGCTAGTGACCGTCAGATTGATATTCAAATGTTGGTTTGCAGGGATTTGGTTTGATTGGCTACAGGATTTCATCATGATCTGATATCCCTCTTTTCCAAGCTTTCTAACAGTAGATAGTAGACAACGACGAAGGTTAGGAATGTGCCAACCGGGAGTCGAGCCCTAAACCACATGCATGCTTGGCGAGCACTTTATTACTGAGCCACTAACACACAGTGAAATATTACTCACAATAACTTCAAAGTTGAATAAAGCATGTCATTTAATTATCTTCACCGAAAGTTGCAATAATCACTAAAGGGTAAAAATAAAAATAACACTTAACAAAAAATGATTTTAACATACTTAGCTGTAGGTCCAGTAGAAGATGTGACATTATCATAAACAGTTATCACAGTATTCACATCATTTGATCTGATTAGATTAAGATTATTTGAATGAACAAAATGATCTGAATTAAGATCATTTGACTTAGGTGATTTCCTCTCTTGAATTGAAGGTTCTGCTTGTGAGGATACTTGTACAATATCATCGTTGAAATCTTCAGCTAATGATTCTGAAGAACTAGCAAGGCCTGAAGTATCCGATTTGCATTAGGTGACAGATTAGCCTATAAATATATAAAACATAAAGATTAGATAATAAATTTACTCGATGTAATACAAACCTTTGAAAATAAAACAAGAAATAACAATCCTATCACAATATGAGTAAATATTAGTTTCGCATCTAGCTTCACACATTCGTTTATGTATAATCGTGTATTTACTTACCTAATGCAGTTGACATCCTTACATACACACACATCAGAAAACACAATGAGAGGATGTAACGACTCCAAGTTAATCAACAGATTTATTGTCTTCTGAACTGGAAGGCTTAACTGAGAAGCCATCATTATCTTTTTAGACAGCTGATTTAGTGCAAACTTCAATATGAGATGAAATAGGATAATACTACAACCGAAAAATATCATTATGAGAGAATAGATAGTAGATAAATGGAGACTAGTGAAGATGCTTATGATTAAGAAAATGTTAAACGGTAGGAACGATCTACAACTGAGTCAACAAAGGTAGCTGAAAATGCCTAGAATGAAAAACCTTCCAGAACACAAAGAACACAATCATATCAAAATCATCTACTGAGGTATAATATTCCTTAATATTTCATGTTATATATATATATATATATATATATATATATATATATATATATATATATATATATATATATATATATGACTCCTTTACGTTCACAGTTAGACGCAGAACTTCAAGCTAGAGGCTTGAAGTTTCGGTAGCAGTGGCGCTTATTTTTCCAGGGTAGGGTTGCTAGCCCCACGCCCAAACTTCCTTCTTTACCAGTCTTATTACTGACTTAGTGAGGTGAAGGAGTGCATCGGTCGGCGATCGAATCCCGAACCACCTGTGTGGTTGACGAGCATTCTACATCTGTGCCACCGACGCACCTTCATTTCCATGAAAGTATTTAAAATTTGATCTAAGGGTTAATTTTTTTTCATCTTTCAGTACAATAAAAACGAGGTATTATATCTAGTAATTATAGTCGAAAAGTGTTACAGAACAGTAGAAAAGTACATTTTTTACAAATCATGAAGGTAGCTGATTCACTTGATTAAACATGAACTCTGTACAACAATACAAAATAACAATTTACTGCATTATTTAATGTTTTCTTTGTTTTAAAGATTATTTTACCTTTTGTCAAAAGCGAGTGCGGCATAAAATAGTTACCTTTTTTGTGTGTGTGCACATTGACCAATCTAGCTACTTAGTTTAAATGGTTTGTAATGGTTTATATTGACTAGCTTTCTTTCTAATTTGGCATCATCATCTAACCGATAGATATATATATTGAAGAGCTGTGAAAAGACAGCATGTAATTCTCGTATACATGACGTAGTATCTAATCTATGGAGGATTTCACCATGAGCTGACATCAGTTAGAGAACCATTGGAAAACCACTTGGGAGTACTGGATAGCTGTTTCCTCCGCCTGGTTTGGGACTCTTCAGCAGTACGCGCCCACCGCCAGGGTTCGGACCAAGGACCTCCTGATTACAAAGTCAGCGAGCTCATAGAACATTGAGCCACTGGGACCCTATCCAATGGCCAGTCCATGAATTCTAACTTCTGCCAATACATGACATAGCACGACCACTTTGCAATATCTTCTTCATTGAGTTACTGCCCTATATTCGACCTGATGTACCCTACTGGTCACGGCTTTCCACTAAAACCCCTCTAACTGATGTCAGCTCATGGTGAGATCCTCCATACATTCAAACAAAATCACTACAAAACCACTACTTCTAATATCTAATCACCATAATATCATAAAATAATCGCAAGCACAAGAGTCAAGTCGAACGCTAGGAATTCGAAGTCTCATAAGTGTCCAAAGTTGATCTTTAAGATGTGTATGTATGGTCTAGACACACACGTTACCAGAAATTATTTAGTATGAAAATGAAACATTCATTATTGATTGTTAGTAATAGTAGTAGTTCAGCGCGTCTCGCTTACATTGAATTCAAAAGTCTAAAGAAGTACACATTTGCAGAGAGAACGTGAATTACTTCAGACTTATATTTTACAACTTTTCAGGAGAGCTACACAAGTGATCACGTGACACACGATAAGTTAAAGTCTATTTGTAATGGTGTGATACAGACAATGTGTTCCAACGGAATATTACTCTGACATATTCCCACAATTTAATAGTGCGCTGACAACACAATACGATATATCTATTTGAACATTCTATATCATGTCAAATAATTTAAACCGAAATCACACGCTCAGTGATTGGTTAAAGAATATAAACGGTAAAGATATAAATAACTGCTTGATCAGTTGAAAATATATGTTTGCTTCCGTGTCTTGCCTTCTACTATCACATTTAGTGTTGCTACCTTTCGAGAAATGAATACCTCATGGTGAGCATTCAACCCCTGTGCCACTGACGCATATATATATATATATATAATTCACAGAACTACTTTAGAACCAATTTAAAATATTCAGATCATGAGTCTGTCTGGATTCAACATAGAACTTGGCACCGAAGTGCACCATTTCGAGATGCCACGTTCCGAATAGCACACAAAGGTAGACAGAGAAGATGAGTGAAGAGAATCAATACAGTTTGACAAGTATAAGAGTGAAACAGAATGGGTAATGGTAGAAAGGAATATGGAAGATTACAGAGACTGAATACATCTGCGCTGGCCATTGACAACGATGAGTTTGAGCCATGTCACCTATTGTCTCCAGCCATTGATTCCTAGAGTCCCGAAGGCCCCAACCCGGAAGTCTGCATCTCCCTCCCTACATGACTCGGTTTAACTGTCAAGGATTTCATGGATTGATGACATCCATGTTTTGTTTGGCCACCACTTACTCTTTTCCAACCTGCACCTATGTCGGCTAGTAATTCCCGTCGGGGGAGGCGATGGTTAGGGAGGCATACGCAGCAGCACATGACCGACCTAGCCATCTCAGTCTATGTAACTTTATAGCCTCGTCGATTGATTTTCCCTATTTGCCCAACACTCTACGCCGAACGTCAACATTACTTACCTTATTAAACCACTTAACGTGAGACAGAGATCGCAGACATCTATGATCGAAAGCATTCAACCTTTTCATGTCTTCAACGCGTATTGGCCATGTTTCAGAGCCATAGAGAAGGACGGAGCGAACTACTGAGCAGTACACACGTCCCTTGGTTGATAGTCGGATGTAACGCCTACGCCAGAGATGGTGTAAGTCAGAGAAAGCAGCTCGAGCTTTTCGGATCCGTGGTGAGATTTCGTCGCCAATCAGTCCGTTGGTGCTGATACAACTTCTCGAATAGGTGAAGTGGTCATCAACATGTTCTATCACTTCACTCGCTATTATTAAGCTAGGTGGGAGTTGACGTAGTGCAGTCCAGTAGCAGCATCTTACATTTTGCAGGGGCGAATCGCATGCCAAACATGATCGTGATCATGAGTAGAACTATATGATAAATTTTCGAAGTTTAGAATCCAAGGGTTATTGAATTCCAACTGAGGTGGTTTGATCTTAAAGGTAATGAGTTCGATTCTTGGCTGGACTATGGGTGCAAATTGCTGAGGAGTCCGAAACTAGGACGAAAACAGTTGTCTTGTGTCTCTTGCCTTTCAATGACCCTCTAACTGATATTGGTTTGTTATGAAATCTAATAAATGAAATTTGAAATAACCACCAAATTCAATTTTAACTTAACCTAGGTGGAATTATTATTCTCACATCAAGATATTTATAAACAGTGCTAATCTACAAAAGCAACATTTAGAAGATCTACTAAAAAACGACGTTCCAAATGAAATAATAACTAAAATATAAAGCATTTAAGAAAGATAGTTAGTTGTCTGTATATTCTCTTTTTTTTAAATGAGAAAATTAATTTATGTTAGGACCATTTAAGGAATGTAACGAACAACAATAATAACTTGGCTGTTTGCTTTAGCAAAGTTAATTTTGTTGTCCAGAAATTAGGGTATTTAAAGAGGGAAAAAGAATAACCACAAATTTGGATTTATGAACTGTCGTATATGTGTTCGTGTGTTCATGTGTGTGTGTGTATGTGTACGGTAATCTGTGCATCACAGAAGAAGACAAGGTTCTATATACATTCAGAAGTCTACGTCTTTTCCCAAATGAAAAAATGTACATATAGATATAATACTGAAATTCTTCCCTAAAATATTCAACAAAAAGATTTGTACCTTTGTAAACAATCACTATAATTTATTAATATTACTAAACATAGAGTGAACAGTTATATATTTAATTGATGAACAATGTTTTTGTTTCAAAATTTCCATATGACGTGACCAGAGACAGATGAATATAGATCAACCTTGTATAGAAACGATTTTGAATCAAGTTGACACATTTTAGAATTCAAACAAATAAGAAAATGAGGAGAGAAAAGCAAAGAAACAAACAAAAGAGACAAACGAGTAGATGGAATGTACACTATTTAGGATTTTTAGGATTGAGAAATTGTTAAAGACTGAAATTATTCAAATCACGAATATGTGATCCGTATGATCCTATATACATGGTAATAAAGAAAGAAAGCATAAATGCATAAAACTATATACTATTGATTAATTGAGACTGAGTAGTTGAGCAATACTCACACCAACTAGTAGTGCTTACTAGCCAGATCAAAGTGACCATAACCATCGAGTGACCGGATTTCCCAGATGACTCATCTTTCATGTCAAACAAACACGAAGACTTACAGGCGAAAACCAACTAACTGACTGAAGAAGCAGGCAGGTAAGACAGGACTCCAGGTAAGCATAGAGGAGACAAGGGTGAAGATAACCAACCAACAACAACTAGCACCAATCACTATCACCGGGAGACACTTTTCAGAGGTTACTTCCTTCACTTATCCAGTCAGGAGGCATCGTTTCAACCACAGGCAGCTGGTGGACGGACGAAGATATCAAAGCCAGGCAAGATACGCCTTCATCAACATGAAACCAATTTGGAAATCTTCGGTTGCATAAAGAAAAGATTCGGATTGTGTTCAACACAAATGTGAAGTCAGCCAACGTGCCAAGGAAAGCATGTCCAGTAGGTTGCAAACTTTTATCAACAGCTGCCCTCTTCGCTGGCTCCATACTAAAGGTCTAACGCCTGCCGGCCGGAGAGAAAGAATTGGCGATAAGAAATTCTGGCTGGGAACAAACCAACCAAGAGCCGATTTCCAAACAAATATGTAGAAGAAAGTAGAGATAGATCGGGCACATGCCAAGAAGGCCATCGAATGACATCGAATTCCAGGTCAACACTCGAGTGGAATCCCAATGGGAAACAACCAATTTGGTATGTATACGAGTGTGACATTGAGGAGATCGTGTGAAGGAGAGATGAGAGATTATGGTCAATTGTGAGCCCAGATGAAGGGAACAGCACCAAATATAGCAAAGTTGAGATGTGTTGTTGAAGCCCTATGTTCCAATCAGAACCCAAGGGAATAATAATAATAATAATCAGTATAGATATAAGGATAAAACTTGGGCACTTTGGTAAAGTATAACTCCATTATGTATTCAATTCTCACATTCTAACAAGTTACTTATTTTACTTATTTCCCATCATATTGTATTTTATAAATAACAATAATATTATTTCCGAACGTACTTTGTCTTATATTGATTTTATTCAGATTTCCAATCAATTTTTACTCATGTATATAAATGAAGGAAGAAAGTTGTGTGAGTACCTTGATATGATAATGAGCAGCTCGAAACGTCATCAGTAAATATTATGATTTTAGCAAAATAAAAGTTTATCCATAATGAATTAATATACATATTTCCCGAGTACTCTCCAACCCATACACGTACGCACAGGTCAAGTGAAGCTAATAAACGTTACCTTAAAGGATGAAGATGCAATACGTAGATATTATAGTAGCTGGCCCAAAAATTCGAACAGACCTCCAAGGTCAAGGTCGTAAAGGTAGGCAGACTTAATATTCAGGACAGGTCTATCATGTTTCAGACCATTAGCCACACTTATTGTGTAACGGTTGATGATACTACCCAGTTGTCCAGGCTGAAGTAGGCGGAACAGGTTGCAAATTGTGTTCAGAGTAATTCTTTTCTTTTCAGACATAAACTACTAAAATGTCAGTTATAGGGGATATACGCAAAAATATTAATTGACTAATCAAGTATGCAGCTATCTGATTAGTTGGCGAGTTAGTTAGTTAGTTAGTTAGACAGCATAGAATAATTAATTCGACATCTGACACACAATAACAGAGAAAAACTGCTAGAACACAGGACTGTATTTAGGCTGCAACACAACAAATAAATCGGCGGAACAAAGAGACATGAGAAAAAATTGACAAAACATCACACCCTCACTCAATATAGTCGTAAAACACTACAGGCAAAAGGAAGAAAGAGCATGGTATGGAAAAAAAACACACAAGACTACTACTACTACTACTGGCATGAATGCAAATTAGAAAATTAGAAATATAGACAATGTTTTTTTACATGATGAATTAGTCTCTTCGTAATAAAGTTGGATTACGTCATCAAACAAAACAAACAACGAAGATTATCTCAGGAAATGTGGTGTATTCGCGAAATATGTATTTGAGGAAGGTTACTTAAAATTAAAAAAATAAAGTAGTAGGATTTTGGTAGATGCTGACTGACTAGAAATGGAATGCAGGATGCGCATTTCTTCTTCTTCCTATTTCTGACTCATCAGCTGGATGCACTGTCATTCCTCACAATTGGTCTAGTGGGTAACTCTTTAGTGTTTGGAACGATGGGTGCTGAGGTGCGAGTCAAGTCTCAGTGGAAACACTATCACTTACTGGGGAATGCAGGTACATCCAGATGACGAGTCAGCTACAAGACGAAATACGCATCCTGCAATGCGCTGTTAGTCATCAACCACCAAATTATTTCGTATTAATTTTCATTTAAAAATAAAAAAAATAAAAGTAGTAGGATGTTGAAGAGTAGTGATGATGATACAGGGATAATAAGTTTTGGTAATATAATCAGTAAGGTTTACCACGACAGATCAAGTGTAAGGATAAACTATTTAGGTGTGGACATGAAAATCGATTAATTTTATGGGTGATTAACGCTTCAGTAAATTAGATAACAGGTGTCTGAACTATTTTGTAGATTTTGTGTGAATGGTTTCACGATAAAATTCTAACCAGGTGATCTGAAGACTTTTCTCAAGGTTATTCTTCTTTTCCTCAGTATTTGTATTTAAGGCTTGTGAAGATTTGATTAATTTCATTAAGAAACGACATTTGTTGAAAGTAGTCATAGCATAAACTTCTTGGCTATGAACCTCGGATACGAGATCATGGCTAAACATTCCTAATGAGTATTCGTTTGACTGGACACTAGTCAGTATCTAGTGTAATGTGTCTAGTCCTATTTTTGGTGTAGACTGAATTCTATCAGTCATGTTTTCAATGTGACCACTAGTTGCTAACTAGTGTCAAATCAAAAAAAATATCCAATACAGTCCTACACGAGGTCAGTCGCGAGCCTGAATGAGTCACTAGTAACGTCTGTTACTACACCACTACACTGAGTGACGCGGGTTCAAATCTCAGAAGGGACGTGATTTCCTCCTTCGAGGTTGCAGGCACGCCTTGCTGATGAGTACCTACTAGTACGAAACCTAGGACGGGCAAGGCTGTCTGCCAATTGCCTCCAACCATCTAATACCAACAATTCCTAATGAGTTGAAAACCAGGACGAAAGATCTATTCATTGTCCTGCAATTTTCTGATGTTCCCCCTACAGCTGATATCATTTTACATCGATAAAACCTTATACTAAATTTTCATATGTAAAGAAATTCAAGAAGAAATATTCTTTGATCTTTACAAAATGCTGAAATAAAGAACTTTGAGGCTGAAAAGTAAACAACAACAATAACAACTTTGTTTCAACAACAGATGCTTTAGGTGAATGATCTTCACATTTAGATATAAATTGAAACAAGAGCTAACCAATGAATGCAACCAATAATTATAACAACCAGTAGGGCATGTTGGCCAGTCAGATCGAAGTAATCTCAACGCAGGATGGATGTTTCGTTCATTTGTGGCCAAACTCATCACCGGTGTACCCGGCCCAGTCTGGTTCGTCTCAGTGCGCTGAATCACTTCACAGCACTTGATTCCTTTCTGGCTATCTATTTAGACGAACTGGGTTTTTTCCTTCACGTTCCCCAGTGGAACATAGGGCTTCAAGCTGGAAGTTTGAAGTTTCTGTAGCAGTGTTTATTGGGGTTGCTAGCCTCATGCCCAACCTTTCCTCTTTACCGACTTTCATTACTAGTTTGGCGAGGTAAAGGAGTGCCTCGTCGGTCGGGGATCGGACCCCGGACCATGTGCATGGTCGGCGAGTGTGTCCTAACCAATATGCCACCGACGCACAAGATGAATTGGTAATACATTGAATCAGAATTCGCCATACCCTAAATAATAATACTACAGTAGACTAACACATTTTCTGTGCATCATTTGAACACAGTTTAGTTAAATGCCAATTTTTTTTGTATTAATGTCGTGTGCCAATTACTCGTTGAATAGAAATAGAGAAAAAAACAACAACAGAATATTCTCAGTCTTATTTACTGCTACCACTAGATTACGATGAATCATCAGGTAACGAGTGAGTGGAATCAAACACTGATGATGTGTGTGCGCGTATGTGCGTGTGTGCACGTGTATGTGTGAAAAAGAGACAGAGAATAAAGTAAGGAGTGTTAAAATAAACAGTAAATAAATATTCCACTATATCCACAGTATGATAATTCATCATACATTATTAAACTCCCGCGTTAACAAAAATTTGAATGTAAAAGAAATCAATTCAAATTCCACAATACATCTAATGAGAGACAGTTTTTTTACACACTCCAAGATGGTATGTGTAGTACACGCTGATTTAAACTTTCTTAATACATTAAACCTACACAATCAAGGACAGCAGTTCAAATGCAGTAAACTACAAGGTTTACTATAAGCTAAAATTAAAATGCTTAGTTATAGACAGATTAACAGGGGACACTTTTATGCTATTGTTGGACAGAGGCTTAACCAAACAGACCAGCTATAATTCTAATGGACTGGTTTTCTTAATGTAATCGAATTAGAAATACAGAAGGCTTGTTTGGCGCTTGTTAACCTACGTCATCTTTGACTCAATCGATCATTTATCATTCCCTGAATAGCAGTTTGCTCTATCCTAGTTTATAATTGTGAATAAATGTGCAGAGAAGCTGTTTTTGACCACAGGTGGCCTTTGAACAACATGGTCGGTTATAATGAAATTCGATATGGTGTTAGGTTAAAATTCTACCGAGGTGGTTGGTTGTGAGTTTTCATAGGTATAAGTAGTTGTCATAGGAATAATGAATGACTTGCTGAGAAATTAATGCCTTCTTCAATAATATATGTGGAAAAAATTTATTCAAACCATAATACGTTTATCACTGCCCTGATGAAGAACACAGGGAAATAATAAAGACACATTTAGAAGTTTGTACAAATTCTAACACAATAGTCACCGACAAAGGGACAAGAGAAGAAAATAAACAAGAAATTTATATACGCATAATTTTTTTTTCCAAAATAATTACTACTACTTTCTGAGGGAGGAAAAAAAAGCCCAGATATAATAGACGAAAACACAAAGAAAAACTCACATTCCCATGCTGGCTTAAATCGCCTTTACTGCCAATAACATGACCGTCTGTAGCCTTTTTACCAGAACGTGGATGACGTGTTTTTGGAAAGCCTTTTGAGGCAGATTTATCCTTTGATTCATGAAATTTATAAAGGGAACAGTAAAAGGTATCGTCACAATATTTATAATTTATAGAAAGATTTTTATTAATAAGAAAAGTAAAGAATACACAAGGGAAATAATTTGATTCATTTAAGTACAACAAATCATACTAATCGTCTTTTATAGAAATGTGCAAACAACAGTAAGTGATTAATTTTTAGAAGTTAGTTTCCGGGATTTTAATTTGTTTCAAGTTTGAGTACGGATGATTGATATCAGTTAGAGAACCATTTAAAAAACCCGGGAGTCCCAAATTATTACGAAGTAACTGTCTAGTCCTCCCAGGTTTTCAATGGTTCTCTCAGAGTTATCAAATCTGTGGTCAAACTTGAAGTAACTGATTCATGGTCGACGGTTATTGCCAAGTATTAAATGTGCAGCAACTCAAACTGCTGCGTATCTGTGCAAGGTTCTACGTTGAAACCAGTCAGTGAAATAAATGGCTGACTTTGATGAAAGTGAGTTTGACCTTATCAAAGCAGAACTTTGCATAAAAGTACACAATTTCAAGATGGCACACTACAAAGAAGCACAAAAAAATAGGGAAAAGGAATTTTGTGAGAACTATTTTCTCTCAAGTTACCAACAGCCTTCAACCACTGATTTTTACATCCCGTGTACCTCTCTATATGGCTCACACCAAAAGTCAAAGACTTAATAGAAAAGTAATATGTATTTGTCTGACAGCTCTGTATCAGGTCAAAATGCTCATCAAGAAAGGTGATGTGTAGCTTTAGACATATATGTCCGAGTCATTTTGTTCAATGCAACTTTACAATCCCATAGATCGAATTCTCCTCCTTAGTGAGCATTACTCCTAACCTATTATTATTATTATTACTGACAATATTGCTCCTGCTAACAAGGAGAACTGAACGCAGAGAATCATAATCAAAATACAAGTATTTCTCATATGTTTAAAAGATTGTACATGACAGGAGGCTGATGATATCAACAAAAGTCTATTCACCAGTAAGAACATTTAATTCATTTTAAAAAGCGCATGCTACAGCAGTTATTATTATTGTTCCCTTGGGTTCCTAGTGGAACATAGGGCTTTAACTGCACGTCTCCATTTGCTTCTGCTGTACTTTTCGCCTGCGTCCATGTTAGTCCATACTGTTTCAACTCCTCTTCACACGATCTCCTCCATGTCACCCTTGCACTGATGTCCCACTCGCCTCTCCTGTTTCGGGTTCCACTCGAACGATGGCCTGACGCGCGATGTCACCCAGCGGCCTCCTCAGCGATCGAGTGTCCAATCCATCTCCACTTTCTCCTGCATATTTCTTGGTTGGCGATTGGTTCTTGTTTTGTTTGTTCCCATAGTTTCTTGTTGGTGATTCTTTCCGGCCCAGCCATCTGATCTTCAGTATAGAGCCGGCGAAGACAGTTGTTGGTTGATAAAGGTCTGCAACAGGCTGTTGGAGATATCTTAGTAACCCGCCCGTCAAGTCTGTGATCCGTGTAGAAGAACTGGCTTGACGTTTGTATTGAAAATGCGACTGCATTTTGTTGTTGATGCAGAGTGACGAAGATTTCCAGATTGGTTTCAGGTTGATGAATTCTACAGCAGTTAATATTCACTTACTGAGTTAAAACAAATCAGATTAGTCGTTACTTCTTAACTTAAAACTGTCCACGAGTAAATAGTAAAGCATTATTGATATAAGTATAAAACTTGGGCCCTGTGGTAGAGTATAACTCCAGTAACAGATTTCTGTGCTTCACTAGAATCATCATTCAAATTATCAAAATTAAATGAGGAAGTACAACAAGAAATACGTCAACGTATCATACCTTTACTCAAACAGAAAAGACATAATTCCCAACTTAGCACTGAAGAACAAAATGCATTGAAGAAACTAAAGAATAGAAAAGATATAGTTATTCTACCGGCTGATAAAGGAAGAACAACAGTAATCCTGGACACAGAAGACTACATAAAGAAAGCAGAGGATTTACTCAAAGATAATAATGTATATCAACAGTTGACAAAAAACCCTATACAAACATTCGATAACAAAATCAGAACAACGTTAAATAAACTAACGAAATCAGGACAAATTACAGAACAAGATCAATGGCGAATGAGATCTAACGGACCCATTTTACCTCGATTTTATGGTAGACCAAAACTACACAAACCGAACATCCCCTTACGACCAATCGTTTCGCTTCCAGGAACACCAACATATAATCTATCTAGAGAACTTTTCAGGAAGTTAAATTACCTAACAGAATCATGCGACCATTCTATCAATTCGTCAATTCAATTTTTAGAGAAAATCAAAAACATTCAGGTAGAAGACAATGAAATAATGGTGTCCTTTGATGTCACAGCATTATATACTTCGATTAGTCCAAAACTAGCAACAGAAACTATGCAACGATTACTCTATAGTGATGAAAACATAAAAACGCAATGTTCAACTTGGATAGAACTCATAAAATTATGCCTTACAACATACTTTCAATTTAATACTCAAATATATGAGCAAATAAAGGGAGCACCAATGGGATCGCCCATATCAGGATTAATAGCTGAAGCCGTTATGCAAAGATTAGAATTAATAGCTCTACCTATAATTAAACCGAAAATCTGGGTACGTTACGTTGATGATACATTTGTAATAATTAAGAGAAATGATTTAGAATATACCCATAAATTAATAAACAACATATTTGAAGACATCAAATTCACAAGAGAAGAAGAGTTAGATAACAAAATCCCATTTTTAGATGTCTTAATCAGGAGAACCAACACAGGAAATTTAGAAACACAAGTATACAGAAAGTCAACGCACACAGATCAAATACTCAACTATACTAGCAACAATCCAATTACTCACAAAAGAAACTGTGTGCAGACATTGTTTAGAAGAATTCAAACACATTGTAGCACACCAGAGTTGAAAAGAATGGAAGAAAAATACTTACAAACGGTGTTCAAGAAGAATGGTTATCCAAAAAATTTCATCAAAAAGTGTTTAAAATCGAATGAAAGCACCAACAAAGAACCATCACCAAAGACCAAAAAGCAATTCATCCTACCATATATCAGAAACATCTCTGAAATAACGGCTAGAATAATGAAACCGTTTGATATAGATGTAGCACACAAACCAGCTGAATCGCTTAATTCTATCTTATGCAAACCAAAAGATCCGATAGAAAAGGGAGATAAAATTAACACCATTTACAAAATAAATTGTGTGAACTGTAACAAACATTACATCGGCCAAAGTGGGCGTCCCCTTCGAATAAGAATCCAGGAACACAAATCAGCCGTGAAAAGACATGATATAAATTCTTTAGTATCAATACATTCAGACGATCATGGACATCAATTTGATTGGGATAATGTCAAAATCTTAAACAGAGGAAACACCAAATGTGCCAGAGAATTCCTAGAAGCCTGGTACTCAAATGAAAACGCAATTAATAAACACGTTAATATAGATGAAATATACCAACTAATAAGAAGTAAATCAGGTGATCAGAAAGTTTAAAATCCCAATCAATAGAAAACGGTCAATAAATATCTAAAGATGGTTACCGGGAGACTCATGAAGAAATTTAAATCATTTCACTTTATCCTAAATACTGCGCTGAAGATGTCGTCCAGAAAGACGATGAAAGCTCCGCAATTAAACCAAGGAGCTCAGAGAACACTATCAATTGCGTAACTCCATTATGTATAGGATTTCATTTTTATTAAATCACACAGTGTTGTACATTTATATTAACTGATGACGTTTCGAGCACAAACTATTGCCGACCATACACATCGTCCGGGGTTCGATCCCCTGCCAACGCACATACCTGATATCAATGGTCAGCCTGCAAAATTTGGGCTACCGATGTCACATGCTGAAAATTCCATACTTGCACCAAAAATATGGTGTGAAATCAAGCTGTAATAAAAAAAACTTATTGTAAATAAAAATCACTAATACTCACCGATTCATCAGGTTTCACTGAACCAGAGAAATGCACTCGAGTTGACGCAGATGTTGGCATAGATAATGAGGAATGCGTCGATGATGCAGAAAGATTATTTGTATGATTCGGTGAAGAGTATGCAGGATCTAAATTCCCATTGACAGTTGAAGAAAATGTAGTCGATACTGCAGTAGAATATGGTGATTTTTTATTACTAATAGCAGTAGTAGTCATTGAACTGAGTTTCAGAGAACTGGATCACTTGTCATTGTTGTAGAATTAGCACTCAGTGTAGGCGAAGGCAAAATACCCGATGGTTTAGTTGACTCATAATTCAAAGGTGATGTATTTCGATTGGTTGGATGATTCGACTGAGGTGTAGAAGTGTGAAAATCAGCTGGTTCATAGGCATGATTCACTTCTACATTGATTCCGTCGAGAAAATCATGTTTTGGTTTAATAATATCAGGATTTAAGGATGTAGAATAACTAGCTAACTCAGACGGTGACACAGTTGGATCTAAAAGGTAATGGAAAATTTTTTTTTCAGAACAAGAGAAGAAAGTTGTGGTTTCACGTGATCATAAGGAGAGAGAGAGAAAAAAATCACATTTTAATCTTGAAAAGAGTTTTCAAATATCCATCGAATAAGGAATACATATTACACTGTGAGATCACGCAAACTCAGTTGCGTCACAGTCTCTTAATCATTAATAGATTAATTCTTTCTTTCTTTCAATTCTATTGTATGTAATGTTTATTATGCAGAAATTATAATGTCGATGTTTGTTTTATTTTCTTTCTTGAAAACGACACTACGACGTGTGTATATACAGCATACTTTTGCTTTAAAGCGATTTTTTAAGAGTCTGTACTTAGAAAATTCACTTACGTGTCTGAGAGTAAAGAAAAATAAGCAGCAACACATTAGAAGGGAGGTTTTAGTGAAGAACAAATAGGAAGACAATACAGTCTTGAATGGAGAAAAGTAATAAGACAAGCGAACATAAACCTTCATGTGATTAACCATAAAGAAGAATCAGTCTGATGATCGAATCACACACTGCGTCAATTTACCTTCGATAACAAAATCAATATTGGAACAACTGCCTTTAAGATTCAGTACTACTGTAACAACAGAAGACAAGGGCCAGGCAACAGATCGTTTATTACGGAAATCAGCACGTATGTATATATATTTCATGTACATTATTATAACTTATTCAAGCAGACAAACACAGTCTTCTGATTGGTTGTTTCTTGCTCAAGGCTATTCTGTACTGCTTGTGACTGGTTTCTCAGAAAGTTGAGCCATATATCTGCGAATCGTATTTGCCCACGTTAAGTCTGCTGTGATTGGTTGTTGAATCAGTCTTGTTCATATTTTTTCACGGCCAATATTAGCGACATAGACATCGACGTAAATTAATGTCTACCAATTGGCTAACAGCCGGCTCTCACCACACTACTACATGATGTTTGATTATTTTGTTAGGAGTAGAAAGTTTCAAAGAGGTTAACAGGTTCAGGGACTCATGAAGGGTGTAAGAATCAAGCGATAAGTTAAAGAAAGATTGGAGTAAAAGGCAAAACTAATGACATCTGGTAATCGTTTATATCTTCCTTTGAACTTGAAGGCGACATTGACATCGCTTTTCGGAATATATTCATGATCATAATGTAGAGCCAATTATGGGACGGTGGCATATATGATATATATTCCTAAAAATAGGAAAGCTACGGAGTAACTAGAACCAACGAATGTAGTAAATCACTCTAACTCTCATAGATGGAGCGATCACAAGTGTTAGAAATAAGCAATCTTTGATGTGAAATGGCAGGAAAACTCAATAGATGCTAAGCAGATAATCGGTTCTAGCAAAGAGATAAACCCAATGTGTGATAAATATAATATATATAGCTAAATACTAACACCTACAGGTTTCGATACTACGTGACAGAAATGAATGAAGATGACATTTCAACTGATGCCGAAAGATGAAAGGATAGAAAAGCTAAGCAATTTCCGACTTTACTTTGATATGACAGTTAGCTGTTTACGTTTCTGCAATCAATTTGTGGCTCATTCAGCATGTCAACATTGCCGATCAACATAGAAATTGTAACATACACAGACAAGCGATACAGACAGAATTCTGTACAAATGAGCATCAGTTAAAGATGTCACACAACTCCGAATAGCGAATAAGTAATAATAAGTGATACAATGAACAAAAAAACATGAGAGAAGAAATAATTAATTGCATATAAATTAAGCTTATCAGTGGCTAAAAAATGAGGAGTGAATATATGATGTTAAGCCATAACACGAAGAATATCTGACCATGGTTTTCAGAATATAAAAAACACAACAGTTAAGTACAAGCCCAACATGCTCAGAATTCTACTCGGGGTAATCAGTGAACGCATCAATTTACCTAATATATCTGCGAGTCTCTTCTGGACTCGAGGATGAATTTATATTTCCAGCTTAGAATGAGTTTGGATGATGAGTGAGTGCAAACTGCTATAGGTTAGTTGAACTGCTACTCAAAGGGTTTTGCGGAATTTCTCAGCTGCCTCTCCTTTGAATTTATCATTTTCTGAGATTCTTTCACTTAACATAAGCTTTTTGATAAGTCGAGAAAGTTGAGAGAGAAATTTATTACTGGTGGCATTTGTCTTCAAATTAGTTGTATTCTCTGAGCTGGTTGATTTAATTTCGAAGCTCGATCGTCATTCTAGACAACATCATCAGTGCAGGCTTTAATATGAAATGGACTTATTTGAATTCTCCATGAAAGATATAATTGTATCTCTTGACAAGCATTGTCGCGACTGGTTGTTAATTTACGTCTCTATTCATCATTTTTATTGACATAGAATTTGAACTTTTTCGTCTCATCTTCATTTCTTCCTTTAGTCTTTGCAACGAAAACTTTTAAATTACTTGCAATGCTCACCATGATCAACATCAGGTGGAATCAGTTACCTGTATTGATTCGCCTAAACGACATAACTGTAATTCACTGGATTTTACCCTAATCATTATCCGTAAGTTATCAGCTGCCGCCCTCATCACCTCTTCAGGATAATTATTGCTCGTATGCTCAAGTAAGTGTTTCGGTGAAAATAATTTTGTGGCATGATGATAATAGCTGGGAAGCAGACAAAGTTGAAATCAACATTTTTAATCACAGGCTACAAGGGTAGTAGAGCTTGTCGCATTTTCTTCGTTCTAAGCTTTTACAGACAGAGGAGGCCTTGGCCACTCACGAATTCCAGTCAGACCTTTGTATGCATAATCTGTATACCTTACCTCGGTTACTACGATTATTATTAGTATTGTTGTTACTATTACTATTACCACTTCGAACTGTTCCAGGCATCATCTCATTAATCCCACTAGTCATTCTAAGTCGAAAATTTTCTGCAGTGTTGAATTCTATCTTATCAAATTTCACAACATGTTGTGTATGACGTTTTATGTCTGTCTATTAATCCTATAATTATATACACATCTATACGTCTTATGAACTATTCCCATATTTGAGATTATTTGTGCCGACAATTTACACTTTATATTTAACTGGGATTATAATGACAAACATATTAATTACATTTCATACTATTATTTAAGGTATTCATGTCTTAGTATAAATTTCCTCGCGGGATATAATTTCTTAAAAACCATATATATATATATATATATATATATATATATAAGATTGTGCAGCTTGATAAAACATTTGTTGAAAAGCGTCTCTTCATTGAATATTATGTATGTTCTTTATATTACAATAGGAATTATTAAATTACTGACAGAAGGCAAAAGCGTCTAATCGTCAAGTCTGGATTCAGTCTACGTTGTGGACACGAAATAACCTAATTGGACAGCTTACTTGTTTAGCCCTGGGCTAGTCGCCAACCAATCAGAACAATTTATTTCCATCCCACCCCCCTTCGACCTAGCCGAACGTTTTAGAATGCCGCTAAGAATGTATAAATATGTGTTTTTCCTTAATAACAGTTCATTACCAAGTCTCTTTACTTCTCCCATTATACTTTCCCTAACATGAAGAAAGACTGGAAAAACATTCTAAAATAAACGACACCTACAACAGAATTCCTGTTTTGACTAGCCAAGTATATATATATATATATATATATATATATATATGTCACGAGAATTAGGAAACACTTCAACCTGTTCACTTGTGTTATTCACGCGAAGCTAATTTCTTTTTTCTCTCTCTTGTTCTCTTAAAACTAGAATAAGTGAAACAAATAAGTGTAACTCTAAAAACTAGTTCATTAACATGTGTAGGAAAAATTACAATAATACTAAGATCTATTGATCATAATAGTAATAATAATAATAGAAAACGTATACAACCAGAAACTGAATTAGTGTGTCCTGAATAAAGGTGATTTTCTTACCAATAGTCATTACGCATTCTATGATTTTTGCATATATATGCACTCTAATATATACATATGATTCACTGGTTATATGTAAGTTTATTAAAAAAGTGAAAATAAATAACTTGACTGTTCATCTATCTATAGGTGACGTTACATTGGCAATTTAAGAAAATGGCTTATGCGACACACCGGTTCAAAGATGACAACAACATGGCAACCCACAAAAGTTTGTACTGGATAGATATTATTATTATTAATAATCCCTTGGGTTCCGACTGCCACATATGGGGGGGGGCTTCAACAGCACATCTACATTTCAATTTGTTTTCTGCAGTTCTTTTTAGTTGACTCCACAACTTCCCATAGGCTCTCATCTCATCCACGTCACGCTCAGACGCTCACCTTAGCCTCTACCTAACCGGGTCCCACTGGAACGACGATCTGGTGCGTAATTTTACTCAACGATTTCTTCAACATGTGTCCTAACCACCTAAATTTCTTTCTGCATATTCGTTGAGTGGTGGGTCTTCGATTGGTTTATTCCCAGTTTCTTGTAGCCAATTCTTTCTGGCCATTTGATCTTCAATATGGATCGAAGGCGGCTGTTGATAAAAGTGATTAACCTGCTGGAAATGCTTTTCGTGACGCGCTTTCCAGGTTACTGAGGCAAACAGAATCGTTGATTGACTTAACATCGGTGTTGATGATCTTAACTTTGTTCTTTATGCTCAGTACAGTAGATTTCCAGACTAATTGCAAAAGCAAAAATTGTCTACCTTTCCTTTCCGATTCTGGTTTTGACATCCCCA